GGTGCATCCCTCAGGGTATATCAGACCGCCTGGGAAAGCCGCCGGCCAGAGGATGCCGCAGCCGCCAGCCGCTCTGTTTGGGGGACCACCTCAGGTTCAAAGAGGGTGCCAGGGTGGGGACTCCATGATGGACAGCCCGGAGATGATCGCCATGCAGCAGCTGTCCTCCCGCGTGTGCCCGCCGGGTGTGCCTTACCACCCTCGCCAGCCACCCCCGCCGCACCTCCCCGGACCCTTTCCCCAGCTGGCTCACGCTGCCTCCACCGCTGGCGTGCAGCCTCCGAAACCCATCGTGGGGAACGGGAGCTCACAGGATCCCACTGGTCAGACCATGGAGTCGGAGAGCAACCAAGGTAACGCCTTGAGCACCTGCCTGCCAACGCAGCAGCCCCTGCCTGTAGCGTTTGACCTTCCCTGCCTGACCCTTTGCTCGCTGCCAGACATCCCTCCTGCCTGCTGCGCAGCATCACCGTTTCCCGTGCCGGGGCAGAACCTATGCCCGCCGGCGTGTGGTTGCGAGGAGGGCGAGGGAGCACCCCCAGGCCAGCTTTGTTGCTCTTGGGCTCCATCCTCATAGGGTCCCAAACTTAACTGTCTTGCAGATGCACAAAACCTGTGTCTGCAAATGTGGTTTTATTTGGATTTGTGCCATTAGAGGAGCAAAAAATATGCCCTGACTTTCAGGCTTACTGGAGTCAATTTTAAACAGTGGCTGAGGCTCAGCAGCAAAAGCAGGGTTTCTTCTAGAAAAGAATTAAATTCTTGATTAAATATTGTGGGGGACACATTTTTTACGTATGTCTTTTTTAATCTAAATTGGAATATATTTTCTGTTCCAGCCATCGCTTAGATTTTTCTAAGATAGTTTTGTTTCACTGTAGCCTGCCAGAGGTCCCCTCTGTCCCAGCTATACCTGCAAGTTATCAGCTTGCCATGGGGTGCAAATGCAAAGCATAGGCTGTGATGCTTCTAGAGCTCACTTGGACTTAACATAAAAATTGGATCTGCAGAGAGTTAGGTAAGGAAGACGTTATGTGAATAAATGGTTTAAATACACTCCTTTGAGTATATGTCAGTACAGCTTCTCCTCTGAAATGCACATGTGCCTTATGAGTTTAATATCTCAAAGTCTTCACACAACATTACTGCCCAAAAGCCACTGAGCAGCCATGTCAGTTCAGGTGGGATGGCAGTGTGTTGTGCATACCATCACAAGTTTCTTTCTAGTTGAATTTAATTCATTCTAGCTGGTAAACTAGAGATCAAAAAAAACGCTTAAAAATAAAACAAACCTAAAGTAGAGATCAAAAAACCCCAGAGATCAAAAAAAAAAAATTTTTTTTTTTTCATTAATTCTAGCTGGTAAACTAGAGATCAAAACCCTTGCATCTTTTATCAGTCCCTCGTGTGCTTTGCACTAAGAGGAAACTCTTTCCTTGTGTGGCATTGCTTAAAAGTCATCATCATTTAACTGCGCTGGATATAGAACAGAGACCGGGGGAGGACGTTGAGTGATTGCAGGGCAGAGTAGTTGCATCTCCAAATCACAGTTGGTTAAAATACAGCTGTGATCAGCTCCGCAGCATCTCGGTGTGTGGTAGTGCTTCTGCCCAAGCTGTGGGCAGGTGGGGTTTGTGGACCAGAAGGGGCAACGCAGCCTGAAATCAAGCCGCCCTGGCTTCTTATCTTGCTGTCATGTGGACCCCACTGCGGTATTTCCCAACCCTGCCTCTCCATTAGGCAGCCTCTGCACACCCATGTGTCAGACCAAACCCACATGTGCAATGTTACTCCAGCGGAGGTGTGACTTATCGGTGGCTTGCAAACTACAGTGAGCCTGTATCTTGAGGGTTCAGTCCACGTGTGCCATCTTTCTGAGAGAGGTGCAACCTCATGAGTAATTTTTAGAGGAGCTCTTTTAAAAAAAGCAGCTACTAAATGTCACCCAGCTTTGCAAAAATGCACTTCAGAATTGCTAAAGGTCTCTGAAGGGAAGACTGTGCTGGGTGTGGGAGGGAGGCTGCAGCCCCACAGAAGAGCAGTTGTCCTGGTGCCATGCTCCAACAGTCCTGTAGAGAGGTTTGAGTAGAGGACAGGGTATTGTAGGCTTTGGAGTATGTACTTTGAAGCCTTCAACGGAAGGACGGTTGGACTCGATGATCTTAGAGGTCTTTTCCAACCTTAATGATTCTATGATTCTATGACCTTCACGGCTTTAGGAAGTTACTCTGTTTTCTCTTCCATTTGCACAGTTCAGAAAGCAGGGTGCTTTCTCCATCCAGATGTTAGGGACTTGTCGGACAGAGATGCCCAGCAACTTTGGGTCATCAGCAAAAGAGGATGCTGAGAGGCTACTTTGGTAGACCTGGTTAAGCTGTCAGGAATTAGTCTTTGGCACATGTGTTTTGGGTGAGCATGAGTAGGCGTGTGTATGTGTCGGGTGGGGAGGGCCGATTTCTGAAATTAGACTGATGGGTGACTTTTTCCCCCTCTCTTTCCAGTGGAGCCACCGGCAGGTGTGGACGAGAAGGCTCAGTGCATTGGCATTCCCGACGGGGCCTACGCCAAACTCCTACCTCATCCCAAGCCCCCGCTGCCCATGGAGTGCACCAGGCGCACCTTGCCCCCAGACGGGGAGGGGGACAGCTCTGGTGTGAAGGGTGACCTGAAGGCAGGGCAGGGCAAGGGCGCATGGCCGGCGGAGAGTGGCTATGCTGGCGGCCCGGGCTGCGTGAGGGACCTGGTGCCCACCTCCGAGAGGGGCGGTCCCCTGCCTGAGAATGGGGCGGCGGGTGAGGGGCCAGCGGGCAGTGCCGAGGGGAAGGGGCT